TTGTATATTCAATGAAAATTTACTTAAATCCTTATTATAGGGGTTTAATTATTTTTGGTTGGCAGTGAAAGGGTCATATGCAGCCCTAATGATCCTTTGTGTAGTCGATATGCTTTAGACCCAATTAAGAAACCATGTTTGTTACGTCAACCTCGCTTGTTAGACTGCGCCAATTAGCGAAGACTCGTGCAAATATTTTTCTTGTACAGCGGCAACATGCATGCCAGACTCATACAAAGGCATGACTCAAGATACAGCTGTAAACTCTGGCAAGACACGAAGACTAAACTTCCAATTTTAGTTTACCTAATAATTGTTGTTTTCCCCAGGAGAAATGCACAAGCAGGAGGAAAAGACTTTGAGTATTAACGCTGAATGTTAGTAACCTAGGATAATCCAATAAAGCCAATCATTGTGTCTCATTGTCACCGACGTCCATTATTATTATAATCAAAAAGAAGCGTTAAGCCACAAGGGCTATACAAAATTCAACTCACAAGAGTCCACTAACACCCAGATGCCTACTTGCTGCTAGGTGAATCGGGACAGCAGATGTAATCAAATGCAGAACGTCTCCATACACCCGAGGACGAAGCCTGAGTCTTTTGTGATCTGACGAGGCGACCACTGAGCCAGAAGCAGACTCAACCTAGTTATCTGTAATCAATGATTATAACAATTAGATCGCAACCGGAAGGTCTAGCGTTCGATTCCCTGGGAGGGTGAAACGTAAGAGCAAGTAGTCTCCTTACACGTGCCACCCCTGCTCACTTAGCAGTAAATAAGCACCTTGTGTTAGAAGACTGTTGTGGTTCGCATCCTAGGGAGCAGTGAACCAGATCATGTGCTAATATATCCTAGTCTGCGCAGCATCGTACAAGAACTTTTCTTTTAAATAAGCAACTTTCAATTAAGCAAGTTCTACCCCTTCTTCAAAATGAATGGCTGTACACAATATACAACTTTATATCAAAGTTTGATAAGAAAACATTGGTAATTTCGTTAATACAGAAACTGCTGCGAGAGAACGCCATGGAGACAGCAGCAGCAGAAGCAGCACTTCCCGAATACTTGGAAGAAAGTGGAAGCAATTAAAGGCTGGAAGAGACAGAGAGGGTATATGTGTAGGAGGTAAAGATGGAATGAGATAAGCAGGAAAGAAGAACTGAAGAGGGAAGCGGGAAAAAAAAAGAAGTATTTCTAAAACACAAAGTGACAGGTGTAGTGTAGCCTCTTGCAACAAGGAGGTCAACGTAAGTCTAACATGCAACCTTGCATCAGAGCCCCCCATCCCCCACACACACAAAATACTGCGTGGAATAAATAAGTTGGACAGAGACACGATGTTCCAGAGAGGGGACACAGAAACAAGGGGTCACAATTGGAAGCTGAAGACTCAGACGAGTCACAGGGATGTTAGAAAATATTTCTTCAGTCACAGAGTCGTCGAGAAGTGGAATAGCCTAGCAAGTGATGTAGTGGAGGCAGGAACCATACATAGCTTTAAGACGAGGTATGACAAAGCTCAGGAAGAAGAGAGAGACGACCTAGTAACGATCAGTGAAGAGGCGGGGCCAGGAGCTGAGTCTCGACCCCTGCAACCACAATTAGGTGAGTACACACACACACACACACACACCTGGTCAACCTCTAGTCTACATATATATTACGTGTTTCCCTTGTTAATATCTTGATGTTCCAGCTCCGTATTTACAAACATCACTGTTTGTTCATCATAGTGAATTAGTCAGAAAGTCTCACGACTCTAGGCACATGAGACTTTCTGACTAATTCACTGAATAACCCCGTGTGACAATACTGTGATTCATGATACCAAATATAATGACGGAGTTATTCAGTGGAGCTCCCTCGTAATTTCTTCTGACTAGCTTCTCGTAAAGACCACAATCAATCTCTGTAAGACAATCTCATATATGGACTATAGCCATAATAATGCTTGAAAGGTTCTCTCGAATTGACAGAACTCGCATAGCAGGGAGAGCATCGTGGATTACCTACTGACTTTCTTTAATTCCTTCCTGACCACTGGACTCGGCCCTCGAGTCACTGAATCATTTACACTTGTGCACCTATTTTTTCCCAGCCGTCTCTATCCTCACCGAACACAAGTGTATCTCTTCGGCAGTGCATCGGCAGACCAATTTGGTCTCCATGGTCCTAGAGGAAAACAACGCACAAACAAAGAGGATATCAACGATATCTTGCAGTGAAGCCTGACCACAGCTGGCTGGCCAGTCCACGGAAATCACAGCTAGGCAGATACAAGTGTCGTCAATAACTGAAGACACTTGTCTTCATACACCACCAATGCAGGTCTCTGGATCAGTAAAATGGATTCCACACTTGTATGTTTCAAATCTGTAGAACATACAGCAATGCCAATGATAATAAAGATGCCCGTTCAGGATACTCATAAAGATGGCCACAAAGGGTGCCCATAAAGATGGCCACACAGGGTGCCCATTAAGATGGCCAAACAGTGCCCAAAAAGATGGCCACACAGGTGCACATAGATAGCCACAGAGGGTGCTCAAAAAGGTGGCCATACAGGGTAGTGAGACGAGTAAGTCTAGGGATATCACACTATACATTTGCTTACTCAACAACCTTTACATCCGTGTGCACACGGATGTACATGTGCACAGAGGTATATATGAGCACACCGGTATGCATGTGCACAGTGTATAAGTGTGCGTGCGTGCATGCATGCGTGTGCTTACGGTCGGCTGACGTGATCTATCTTCGATGCTTTATACTTTGAAATCTTGCAGGGACTAATCTACACTATGATTATTATTATTTTAACTCAATGCCCGTCGCCCGCCAAGGTACGGTGACCCAAACAGGAAAACACATTCACCATCATTCAATTTATCACTGTCTTTCCAGAAGTGTACTGACATCACAATCAGTTTATCTCACTGACTGCAACCTCCCCACCCGTCCTTCAGAGTGCAGGCACTGCCTATCCCACCTCCAAGACTCATGTCAGACTAACTGGTTTACCTGAATTCTATCATAAAAGTTACCCTGCTCATACTCTAACAGCACGTTCATTAAAATGCACTTGTCTCCACTCATATCTAACACGCTCACACCAGCCTGCTGGATGCTCAAGCCCCCAACCATTCCTGGGACGATCCCTGCCCCTCTTACCTTCCACCCAGGATTCATACATCCTTTACGTCATTCTGTCCCTGTTCTTCCCCTCTACATGCCCACACCACCTCAAGCCTCGATCTCCTCACCCCACTTATTATTATTATTATTATTATTATTATTATAGTAGTAGTAGTAGTAGTAGTAGTAGTAGTATTACCATTATTATTATTATTATTAAATTCACTGGGAAGCGCTAGGCTCGTAAGGGTCAACTGGCGCGTGAAACTCTTCTTCAACTATAGCGGTCACTAGTTCGTCTCATTTTTGTACTCGTGATAACAAAAAAACAAACTGGGTATATTCTACATATCTACACTTACTCTGCATCACTGACCACTAACCTATGCCTACAAGTTTTTGTTTAACGTGCAAATAAAATCTTTTACAATGGTCTTGCGAACACAAACATCAAATGGGCACAAAAAAATTACAATGCATATATTTTACCTAAAACAACTGTGTGTGTACCTCAGGTATCTTCACTGATACTTGACTACTTACTGATCTACCCTTGACTCACATGTGGTAATTGTGTATGGGGATCTACGTCAGTAAGTCATTATTAAGTGGTGTAGAAAAGATACTTCCGCTAGTGGATGTTGCTCACTTGTGATGCTGCCTCCAGCTGCTGCTTCTCACCTGCTGCTTTCTCCGTGCATGTTGTACTGTACCTTTTTTTTAAGACTGATGAAACGAACACATCGTGTCCAGACTGAGGGACTGATTACTTCAAACTCTTTAAAACATCATCCAGCGTTCTTTCTCTGTACTAGACTGATAAAGCCACTGGTTAGCGAAACGTTTCCGCAATAAAGATTCCCAAGCGTTGTACAAGTGTCTCATTTATCAACAACAGTTCATCTTAAAAACTGCTGTTACTTAACAAAAATCTGATGCCAGAATGCTCAGTCACTCAGTCATGTTCCAGACAACACTCACCTCCACAAGTCAAAAATCTAAATCTGCTCAACATGAAAAATATCAACATTTACTACTGTTATTAGTATATACACAGAACACTCAGTACAAATATTGACCCAGTGCTTATAATCTTCTAGGAGAGCTGCAGCACACCACATACACACACCACCAGGAATATAATAATAATAATAATAATAATAATAATAGTAATAATAATATTTTTATTGAGTCTGTATAGCCCTTGTGGCTTAGCGCTTCTTTTTTGATTATAATAATAAAAATCTTTATTAAGTGCAAGTACATGTCCTAGCTGACATCAATGACATACTACTCTATAGAAAGCTGCTTGTTATGCAGAGCATTTCGGACAAATTAGGTCAGTTTTTGTCCCAGGATGCGACCCACACCAGCCGACTAACATCCAGGTACCAGTTTTTAACTGATGGGTGAACAGGGACAGGGACAGCAGGTGTCTCATGGAAACACGTCCCTGTTTTCCAGCCGTGACGGAGGAGATTCGAACCCCGGACCTCACTGTGAGCTGAGTGCTCTAGCGGTCGAGCTACGGTTACTAATAAATTACACAGAATTTAATTTTTTTATATAATTCGTGTTAGGCGCTAAACCCATATGGGTCATTCAACGAAAAACGTGGTGGAGGCTTGATCCTCCGTCTGCCGAGCGCGAGACAGACGGAGGATCAAAGCCAGGGGCATTCTATACAGTATGTCACTGATGTCAGCTATGGTCTGTACAAGTTGTATCATGTACTTGTAGAAATAATGATTATTATTATTATTATTATTATTATTATTATTATTATTATTATTATTATTATTATTATTATTATTATTAATTATTATTATTTTTAATATTATTATTATTACAATACTCACCACAGTGTTGAGAGCTACATCAGAGAAAGAACGTTTTCTATGAAGACTTTCCTCATGCAAGGCGCTTCTGAAAGAAAACGTCAACATTACATAAACGGAAACTAAAGAATTTAATGCAAGCCACATATTCTGTCAAAATTTGAGCTTTAGGTACATAGCATAAAAAAAAAGCTATAGTCTTGATGACACACAGATTTCATGGGGCTATTAAAAGTACATTATGTAGATATAGCCTAAGATAAGCCAATAAAGACAAACATTACAAGATACGGTATATAAAGCTAAATACATTATTATATCCAAACATCCAAGTGTAATGAACACTGGTCAGTGGCACGAGAAGAAATAGCTGTGTAATGAGGAACCCATCACTTTAGTATCTTAACTGAAATATCCGGTAATTTCCTTTGACCTTAATCATGTCAGGAGAACTGATAGTGGACAATGACTGTGGCCCGGGTCCAGTCCCTGGACCCATTATGTACCTTTGTAATCTTTTGACTACCGCCCACAGGATGGGTATGGGGTGCATAATAAAGATATTAAACTAACTAACTAACCGTGGCCTGGTGGCAAAAGCTCTCGCTTCACTCGCTCATCAAGATACCCATCACTTACACAACCCAGGACAACATGGGTTTAGAGCAGGTCGCTCCTGCCTGTCCCAACTACTGGACCACTATGACAAGGTCTTGGATGCTCTAGAACATAAACAAAAAGCAGATGTATACACAGACTTTGAGAAAGCCTTTGACAAGTGTGATCATGGTGTAATAGCGCACAAAATGCGTGATAAAGGAATAACAGGAAAAGTTGGTAGACGGATCTATAATTTCCAAACAAACAAAACACAAAGAGCAGTAGTAAACAGAGTAATTTCTCAGGCGGCTACAGTGAAAAACTCTGTTTCACAAAGCACAGTATTCGCTCCCCTTCTGTTCTTCATCCTCATATCTGACATAGACAAAGATAAGAGATAAGATTTCGTTCGGATTTTTAACCCGGAGGGTTAGCCACCCAGGATAACCCAAGAAAGTCAGTGCGTCATCGAGGACTGTCTAACTTATTTCCATTGGGGTCCTTAATCTTGTCCCCCAGGATGCGACCCACACCAGTCGACTAACACCCAGGTACCTATTTGCTGCTAGGTGAACAGGACAACAGGTGTAAGGAAACGTGTCGAAATGTTTCCACCCGCCGGGAATCGAACCCGGGCCCTCCGTGTGTGAAGCGGGAGCTTTAGCCACCAGGCCACCGGGCCCCGATGTAAGCCACAGCTCCGTGTCTTCCTTTGCTAATGACACCCGAATTGTCAAGACAGTGTCTTCCATCGAAGACACCGCAAGACTCCAAGCGGACATCAACCAAATCTTTAAATGAGCCGCAGAAAACAATATGAAGTTCAATGAAGTGAAATTTCAAATACTGAGATATGGAAAACTAGAGGAAATTAAAACTGTAACAGGATATACAACAAATTCTAACCACACAATACAGCGAAACACTAATGTGAAAGACCTGGGAGTGATAATGTCACAAGATCTCACATTCAAAGACCACAACAATGTATCTACCTCATCTGCTAGAAAAATTATAATATGTATAATGAGAATCTTCAAAACTAGGGACGCCAAACCTATGATGATTATCTTCAAATCACTTGTTCTCTCTAGGCTGGAATACTGCAGTACACTAATTGCCCCCTTCAAGGCAGGCGAAATTGCTGACCTAGAATATGTACGGAGAACCTTCACAGCACACATAAGTACGAGAAAACACCTAAATTACTGGAAACGGTTGAAATTCCTCGACCTGTACTCTGGAACGCAGGCGGGAGATACACGATTATATACATTTGGAAAATCCTAGAGGGATTAGTACTAAATCTGCACAAGAAAATCACTCCCTACGAAAGCAAAAGACTTGGCAGGCGATGCAACATCCCCCCAATGAAAAGCAGGGGTACCACTAGTACACTGATAGACAACACAATAAGTGTCAGGGGCCCAAAACTGTTTAACTGTCTCCCAGCATACATAAGGTGACTGTCTTCAAGAAGGCTTTGGACAGGCACCTAAAGTCAGTATCTGATCAGCCAGGCTGTGATTCGTACTTTGGTTTACGTGCAGCCAACAGTAACAGCCTGGTTAATTAGGCCCTGATCCACCATGAGGCCTGGTCACAGACCGGGCCGCGGAGACGTTGACCCCCGAAACCCTCTCCAGGTATACTCCAGGTATAGTAAAAAAAAGCTACTGCAAGGCTGAAGTACCTCCATAGAAAGGCAAAGTGTGTACCTACTGAGGCTCGCAGGACCATATGTTTACAGCTTATACATGTCATGAAGATTATTTTGTTCTTCATTGTACTCTTCTTTAACAAAAAAATATGAAAGACAGAATGCAAATCACCAGGAACAAAATGGTGAGATTCATCCTGGGCTTGGGTTCAAGAGAGCATGAAAGCCAAAATGAATTATAATAAATGAATATGTTAAACGCTGAAGATAGAGTTAAGCAACTGAAGTTAAATCATGTTTATAAAATTACTCACAAGTAGTGTCCAGAATATCTTGCTGCCAAGTTTGTCAAGGTCAGGAATCAAAACCAGTATGGTACTAGGGGAAGTGAACATTAACTGTAATACCTACAGTAGGCGGTCAAGTCTCAAAACACCTTTTATTATTCAGCAATAAATGGGTGGAACGGACTGCCTACACTTGTCAGAACCAACCCTAGCATGAGCCAGTTCAGGAAGAAAGCTAAAAAGTACTTAACAAATGAAGCCTCGGAAAGGGAGGAGAGTAATTTCTTATATAGTTAACATTGGTGTACTGTGGAAACTTACTGAGATACCAAATAACTCCCAAAACATTCCACGAAACGTTTCACAGTATATGAGCTTTACAACCCCTTAACACCCACACTAACACACCCTAGTTGGCAGAGGTAGTGAGATTGTACATATTATTTGATATTTACCCTTCAAGGAAGGTTTAGGTAGGTTTATATAGTAGTAACTAGTATTAGAATTAGAGAAATAACCGTAGATATTATTAATTTAGTCCTAGGACCATAACATAGGTAGGATTAGGCCTTTAATATAGGCGAATATTAGCTAGAGCACTGGCAACCCCATGCTCAAAGGCGGGGGTGAGAGAGATTCCAGCTATTTTCTTGGAGTACAGACACGATAGCAATCAGATATGTTGCATCAAGCAGCACAGAGAACCGGCATTCATACACTTGACCTGGAGAACACAACATCATAGAGACTTCTAGAAGTATTAGGAGTATTCGCCTCTTCCCAGGCCCACCCGCAGTAAGACAGACCTTTAACTTGACTCACGAAATCGTAATGACATGATTGCAAACAAACCATACCACGGTTCAGACATTGGGGACATCACATATGAGAGGACCCTTGGAGCTAGCGATCACGTGGTTCTGAGTTTTGATTATGTAATAGACATGCAAGTGGAGAGGGTAACAGGAGTCGATTGGGAAAAGCCAAACTATAAAAGGGAGGACTACACAGGTATGCGGAACTTCCTGCGGGAGGTTCAGTGGGCCAGAGAGCTGGTAGGAAAGTCAGTGAACGAAATGATGGAATATGTAACAACAAAATGCAAGGAGGCAGAGGAAAAGTTTATTCCCAAGGGTAACAGAATTAATAGGAAGACCAAAGTGAGTCCTTGGTTTACCCGAAGGTGTAGGGAGGCAAAAACTAAGTGCATTAGAGAATGGAAGAGGTACAGAAGGCAAAGGACTCAGGAAAATAAGGAGATCAGTCGGAAAGCCAGAAACGAGTATGCACAGATAAGGAGGGAGGCCCAGCGACAGTATGAAAACGACATAGCATCAAAAGTCAAGTCTGACCCGAAATTGCTGTATAGCCACATTAGAAGAAAGACAACAGTCAAGGACCAGGTGATCAGGCTGAGAAAAGAAGGTGGGGAACTCACGAAACGACCAAGAGGTATGTGAGGAGCTCAACAAGAGACTTAAGGAAATATTCACATTGGAGACAGGAAGGACTCTGGAAAGACAGGACAGTGGGGGGGCACCAACAGGAAATACACCAACAAGTGCTGGATGACATACACACAACTGAGGAGGAGGTGAAGAAGCTTCTAAGTGACCTTGATACCTCAAAGGCAATGGGACCGGACATCTTCCTGTGGGTCCTTAGAGAGGGAGCAGAAATGTTGTGTGTCCCATTAACCACAATCTTCAACACATTCCTTGAAACTGGGCAACTACCTGAGGTATGGAAGACGGCAAATGTAGTTCCCATTTTTAAAAAAGGAGACAGAAAACAGGCGCTAAACTACAGACCAGTGTCACTGACGTGTATATTATGCAAAGTCATGGAGAAGATTATCAGGAGGAGAGTGATGGAACACCTGGAACGGAACAAAAGCATAACTGACAACCAGCACGGTTTCATGGAAGGCAAATCCTGTGCCACAAACCTTCTGGAGTTTTATGATAAAGTAATAGAAGTAAGAGACAAGAGAGAGGGGTGGGTTAATTGCATCTTCTTGGACTGCAAGAAGGCCTTCGACACAGTTCCTCACAAGAGATTAGTGCAGAAACTAGAGGATCAGGCGCATATAATGGGAAGGGCACTTCAATGGATCAGAAAATACCTGACAGGGAGGCAACAACGAGTCGTGGTACGTGATGAGGTATCACAGTGGGCACCTGTGACGAGCGGGGTCCCACAGGAGTCGGTCCTAGAACCTGTGCTATTTTTGGTATATGTGAATGACATGATGGAAGGGATAGACTCAGAGGTGTCCCTGTTCGCAGATGTGAAGTTAATGAGGAGAATTAAATCAGATGAGGATCAGGCAGGCCTTCAAAGAGACCTGGACAGACTGGACACATGGTCCAGCAACTGTCTTCTGGAATTCAACCCTGCCAAATGTAAAGTCATGAAGATCGGAGAAGGGCAAAGAAGATCGCAAACAGAGTATAGGCTAGGTGGCCAAAGACTGCAAACTTCGCTCAAGGAGAAAGATCTTGGCGTGAGTATAACACCGAACACGTCTCCGGAAGCACACATCGACCAGATAACTGCTGCAGCATATGGGCGCCTGGCAAACATGAGATTAGCATTCCGATACCTAAGTAAGGAATATTTCAAGACACTGTACACCGTGTACGTCAGGCCCATATTGGAGTATGCTGCACCAGTCTGGAACCCGCACTGAGTCAAGCACGTTAAGAAATTAGAGAAAGTGCAAAGGTTTGCGACAAGATTAGTTCCAGAGCTAAGGGGAATGTCCTATGAAGAAAGGTTAAGGGAAATCTGCCTGACGACACTGGAGGACAGGAAGGATAGGGGAGACATGATAACGACATACAAAATACTGCGTGGAATAGACAAGGTGGACAGAAACAAGATGTTCCAGAGAGGGGACACAGAAACAGTTGGAAGTTGAAGACTCAGATGAGCCACAAGGATGTTAGGAAGCAGTTCTTCAGTCACAGAGTGGTCAGGAAGTGGAACAGTCTGGGGAGGGATGTAGTGGAGGCAGGAACCATACATAGCTTTAAGACGAGGTATGATAAAGCTCATGGAGCAGGGAGAGAGAGGACCTAGTAGCGTTCATTGAAGAGGCGGGGCCAGGAGCTGAGTCTCGACTCCTGCAACTACAATTAGGTGAGTACGGTTTGGAGTTTTGAGACTCTCTGATCGCGGGTTCTAATCCCGCCCGTGGTATTTTTTTTCAGACCTTTAATTTTCTCAGTATTAGTTGGCCAATGATATTCTGGGAAAACTTAGGTTTTAGTCGATCTGTGAGGTTTGAGCAGATGGACACACGAAGACCAGGTAAGTCCGTCACTGCAAGAGGTATTATGAGGGACCAGAGAACTCCATACCACGAAATTAATTAGTCCTTCATTCGTGTATAGTTAGGAATTTCTTACAAGAACAGTAGTAACCGGAAATATGTTGTAAGAGACACTAGTGAGCCTGGGAGGACTACCTCAGGGTGTCTGTGTCAACATTACTTGCCAAGGTGAGCAGCTCACAAGGGGAAGTTCGCACAAAATTTCCAGATGTACTATTGAAAGCTGATCATCTCTTTTATGTTAATGTAAATAACTAAGTTCACTTCATCCCTGCTGTATCTCCTTTTACTGTAACTGGTTTTCACACAGTTGAGTTACTTAGCTATTTTAACTTTTAAGGTTATAATGACTAATTTCTACTACAACTTATAGCTAGGATTTAAATAATAAGATATTACAATGGAAATAAGTCACATGTTACTATGCAATAAGATCACAGTATACAGGTGATGAGGTGTATCACAATATGCAAAACAACCACACTGGTTGTTTCGTACTTCTGTGTACAGGTGACTAAATAAACTTATTTACTTACACATTGGTATATAATACAAGATGGATACAGTACACTGGTTACCATAAGTAGCAGCCGCCGACATTATCACGATAGGAGGAAACTAACTGCCTAATATAAAGACAACGTCTCAATCCCAGCACAACAAAAATGCAAGAGTGACAAATAATATATAAGCCAGAGGGTGGATAAATCTTCACCTTACAGAGAGAACATTTATGTTAACGGAAGTATTTGTTGTTCTGTTGCAGAGATTTAAGAATATAACAAAGCTGAGTTTGGAGGGAAGTGAGAAAAAAATCATAAAACACCATATACTACTTGTTAAAAATATATATATAAATATATTATCGTTCAGTTACAACGAATGTTAACTGACCTGGGTAGAGTAGGCGAAGATTGTGGGTGTGCATAGGCGAGGGTGTTGACGAAGGAATCTGAAGCAGCGAAGGACGAGGAGAGAGATGACGAGAGGTTTCCGTTACCTCCTGAGAGAGCAGACATAATGCCCCCTGACCCAGCCAGTACCCAGTCCACGTCCGCTCCTGTCTCAAGGTAAATGATCTTTAGGAAAAAATCGTAATAAGTGACTGTAAATTATTAAATTATTTATAAACCGGACGGTATTTGAACTCGAGGCTACGAATGATGGTACAATACATCAGGTAATGTTAACAGACGCCTCCCTACCTCACTATCAATCTCACTATAAACAAGCAATAAACATTTATAATAAGCAAGACGAACACTACCTTTAGGATAAGTGAGGTTGTTCCTCTTGTTTGAGGATGGCACCACAAGGGAGTACTCTATGAGACCATCAGGTGTGACCCTGGGCAGTTGACGCCGTGCCAGTCGTGCTTGTACTGCTGCCAACGCACCTGCCTCCTTATCCTTGTCCTGTACAGGTATTAGCACACATTACAGTGGCATTTTATATTATATAAAGTAATCTTAATGACTGGTCTTGTGCCAGTGCTGATTATTTGTTCATAACCTGTATCATTGTACCATATTACTATACGTTACTACCTATATGTATTTTGTATATAGTTTTAAATAAAATATAAAAAAAAATCTCAATTTCTTCTCTGTTTATAAGTACAGATATTCAGCGAGTATGTCTTGTTCTTGGCAGACGGAGGTTCAAGCCTCAACACTCTTAAGAGATGACATACCCATACAAATGAGTCACGTATAATACTACTCTTAAAATACAAAGCTTCATATATCTTATACGATACCAATGTAGCAAACTATACCATCCTTGTATATTAACCTAATTAAATAACTGCTCAGTAGTTATAAGTTAATTTTAAGACTGACAGAAATGCTAAGTATAACCAGAGGCTTCCCAGGAAGTGTACCAATCATGTTAAGTATAACCAGAGGCTTCCCAGGAAGTGTACCAATCATGTTAAGTATAACCAGAGGCTTCCCAGGAAGTGTACCAATCATGTTAAGTATAACCAGAGGCTTCCCAGGAAGTGTACCAATCATGTTAAGTATAACCAGAGGCTTCCCAGGAAGTGTACCAATCATGTTAAGTATAACCAGAGGCTTCCCAGGAAGTGTACCAATCATGTTAAGTATAACCAGAGGCTTCCCAGGAAGTGTACCAATCATGTTTAAATATAACCAGAGGCTTCCCAGGAAGTGTACCAATCATGTTAAGTATAACCAGAGGGTTCCAGAAGTGTACCCAAACATGTTAAGTATAACCAGAGGCTTCCCAGGAAGTGTACCAATCATGTTAAGTATAACCAGAGGCTTCCCAGGAAGTGTTACCAATCATGTTAAGTATAACCAGAGGCTTCCCAGGAAGTGTACCAATCATGTTAAGTATAACCAGAGGCTTCCCAGGAAGTGTACAATCATGTTAAGTATAACCAGAGGCTTCCCAGGAAGTGTACCAATCATGTTAAGTATAACCAGAGGCTTCCCAGGAAGTGTACCAATCATGTTAAGTATAACCAGAGCTTCCAGGAAGTGTACCAATCATGTTAAGTATAACCAGAGGCTTCCCAGGAAGTGTACCAATCATGTTAAGTATAACCAGAGGCTTCCCAGGAAGTGTACCAATCATGTTAAGTATAACCAGAGCTTCCCAGGAAGTGTACCATCATGTTAAGTATAACCAGAGGCTTCCCAGGAAGTGTACCAATCATGTTAAGTATAACCCGAGGCTTCCCAGGAAGTGTACCAATCATGTTAAGTATAACCAGAGGCTTCCCAGGAAGTGTACCAATCATGTTAAGTATAACCAGAGGCTTCCCAGGAAGTGTACCAATCATGTTAAGTATAACCAGAGGCTTCCCAGGAAGTGTACCAATCATGTTAAGTATAACCAGAGGCTTCCCAGGAAGTGTACCAATCATGTTAAGTATAACCAGAGGCTTCCCAGGAAGTGTACCAATCATGTTAAGTATAACCAGAGGCTTCCCAGGAAGTGTACCAATCATGTTAAGTATAACCAGAGGCTTCCCAGGAAGTGTACCAATCATGTTAAGTATAACCAGAGGCTTCCCAGGAAGTGTACCAATCATGTTAAGTATAACCAGAGGCTTCCCAGGAAGTGTACCAATCATGTTAATCAGTCTTATATAAATTGTATACTTTGTGAAAAAAATTATCATAATTATCACCATTATTATTTTGTAACTATTTGATTTATGTTTGCAATTATTTATATGAGCTCTGGGCTGAGCTCCAGTTCGTGGCCCCGCCTCCTAACTGTAAAATAACCCTAAATTATCTATTTCTTTGGAACCACATATATTCTTACCACAGTGTCTCACAAAATCGTAATGACACGATTGCCAGCAAATCACAAAACAGGCGAGACTCGAACCCATGGTAAGCCTGCGAGTTTCAGGACTCGAAGGCCATCACAAGTTCTGTGATTTATACAACCTCAATATTTCAGACATCTTATTATTAACAATGAGGTGTTTTTGCCATATCCTGAAAGGTTTGCATGGAAGTGTCTCAAAGTTAGATGTTTGGATACTCTAAAGATACAATGCTCTAGTGCATGACTGTCTCTGTTCACACTTTGTATTTCATGTTATTAACATCTCAACACAAACCATACTGCTAGAGGTACTGATAGACTAGCCTTAGTCTAGCAGTAACATTTTGCAATCTACTGATCTTGTTACTTTCTTTAAAGACATGTCTGATTCGACACATTTCATTATGATGGATAATAGAACTGTCAGTTCTTATCTATACTTTCTACTTTCTTCAAACTCGTTTGCTAGTTCCCTTCTGACAGTTTTTCACAAACTTCCTTTAGAAAAAAATAAAATCATACTGAACATTCTCTTTATTTAATTCTTGTTCAGCTAATTCATCAGTTTTATCATGCTCCTGAGGCCATGTGAGAGGGAATCTACAAAAGCTTGACTGTAATCCTTTCTAAATAATTTGTGCCTAGCTTCATACACAAGTATGCTACATTCAGGTCTCAGGCTATTTAGCCCCTCAAGGAAGGTTCCTTGATGTTGGTGAGGGGTTCTTGATTTACGGAATTGGATCTGTGCTCCAGTTCCCCGAATTAAGCCTGAATGCCTTCCACATCCCCCCTCTTGATTATAATAATAATAATAATCAGGCTATTTAGAGCAAGTAATTATACTGTGTGGAGTGGTAGTTTCCACAAGCTTGAGAACAACTAGTGTCGCAAACAGCTCATTTTGTAAGGTGGAAGTCCAGTTGTTAATTCTACAAGCACCCAGTATCAATTTTATACTTTAACTCGGTGGTACGAACCGCTTTCGCATAACTAAAGGTTCGATTCCTGGGATGGACGAAACGTATGGGTAACTCTCCTTATACTAGTTGTCCTAGATTTCTTTTAAAGACATATAACTTAATGTAAAGCATTCACGTCGCAAACGAAGGCACTCAGATTAGATTCTCGGGCTTTGCAGGCGAGTGTCCTTACATCAGCTTCCCATGATCACCTGACTGCTAGGTGAATATGATTATTATTATTATTATAATCAAAAAGAAGCGCTAAGCCACAAGGGCTATACAGCGCTGCATAGGTGAATATGAGAAGCAGGGATAAGGAGACTTCCAGGTGAAAGGAGACTGCTGGGGCCTAGCAGTAAATACTGTAGGCACTTGGGTGCCAGTCGAGTGCTGTGGGTACCATCTTGGGGTGGCAAGGAGTGGAAATGTATACTACACATGGCTAGGCTTTCATATAATCTGAGGTGGAACATCTCTTAGATTGCAAATGACTGAGGTAGGATAATAGCTGTTAGACTGTCAATGACCTGAGGTAGGACAATAGCTCTTAGACTGTAAATGAAGGTAAAATAATAACTAAGCTTAAAGTTGAAAGTGTCTCACCTCGAGGTTGTCGAGGGCGGCCATGAGCGGGCCCAGCTTGGCAGGTCCCAGGAACTGAGCAATGGCCGCCATGCACTCCAGAGCTGCCAGCCGCACCCGACGCTTAGGGTCAGTCACGCTCATGCTTACCTTCTCCGACAAGTAATTCAGGTCAAATTCATAGCTAGGAAAGGTCATGAGAGCGTAGATGATAAAGTTGAGGCAATCTTCCCTCACCCGGGGTGACCTGTGGCCTAGATTATCACACAGGATGGGCATGACCGCCGCTGGCGTGGCGTTCTGAAGCAGCTTTTGAAAGACCTTCATATTTTCGATTCTCACCACCACTTTCGAGTCGCCAACTTGTTTGATCACCGAGTGGACGATCTGCCGTAGGTACGTCGGCAGATCGCCCTGAAGCTTCTCTATCAGGATGCGGAAGATATCGAGGACAATAATGGATATCCTGAAGTTGTTATCGTCGATGAGAGAGTCGAGGAGTGAGAGGAAATTTGAGAGGTGAGGCAGGAAGGCTGTGAAGTCTTCCAAGCACTTGAGCTGCGTCCACAGTTGCTCGCAGCCCTCGGAACGGGTCTTCCAGTCTCTCTGAAAGAAAAATAATCCCCTGCTAATTATTAATATACTGACGGGGAACAGCTAAACCAGCAGGGACCAGGTGGAACTAGAATGGTGATACCAACAAACTGTAGTTAGATAGACACGTATACACTGATCAAGGCATCTACAAAGCTGTGTCCAGTGGCTCGGTTGACAGCGCACTCACCTCATATACTGAGTGTCAACATGATAATGGTAAACAATACCCACAAGTTACTGAATGTCCATGGTTCGATCCCCGTCACGGGAGGAAACATTGGGCATGTTTCTCTACACCAGCTGCCCCTGTTCACCTTGCAGTAAGTAGGTACCTGAGTGTTAGTCGACTGTTGTGGGAGGTGGGGGGGATCCCAGGGAATTGCAGTATACCTTACATAAGGCTGGACTGTGAAACAAGTCCAGTAGAACAACAACTCTTACACTAAACAACTGATCTCTGCTAAAAAAAAAAAGTTTCGTCACGGCTATGTCCAGCACTCGTAAGTAAACTTGTCCTCAGTATCTTCATGAGTACATACATGTCTTCATGAGTACATACATGTCTTCATGAGTACATACATGTCTTCATGAGTACATACATGTCTTCATGAGTACATACATGTCTTCATGAGTACATACATGTCTTCATGAGTACATACATGTCTTCATGAGTACATACATGTCTTCATGAGTACATACATGTCTTCATGAGTACATACATGTCTTCATGAGTACATACATGTCTTCATGAGTACATACATGTCTTCATGAGTACATACATGTCTTCATGAGTACATACATGTCTTCATGAGTACATACATGTCTTCATGAGTACATACATGTCTTCATGAGTACACACATGTCTTCATGAGTACATACATGTCTTCATGAGTGTACACATGTCTTCATGAGTGTATACATGTCTTCATGAGTGTATACACGTCTTCATGAGTGTATACATGTCTTCATGAGTGTATACACGTCTTCATGAGTGTATACATGTCTTCATGAGTGCACACATGTCTTCATGAGTGCACACATGTCTTTCCCCAACAGTAATTACTATACAACACTTGAGAAATGCAAGATGATCACAGTAGATCAAAGAAGATGAGGAAAACAGCCCCAATTTCAGTGATCAATAAGTCATCCAGATCATCAGGTCATTCACTACTAACTAACGACTCCTTCCACAACAATTAGATTAATAAGTGTCAAGCCTATCGTCTGCAGGTGGGTCATTAAGGATGTAATTCACCTGAACACTAACATCAATATTTTTATGCACACGTGATGACGACCTAACATGGTCTTCTCACGAAGACCACACGTTCCTCCCGTGTGAGTTCCACATTCATAATGATGGTATCATTGTATCTCTAATGTTGCTAATACAATTCGTCTTTATTAATGATATAAAAAAATACAATGCAGACTGACTTTATTTTGGATGTATGTGTGTTACGTGTTACTTGTGTGTGTTTCGTTTTGTGTGTTACTTATGTGTTGTACGTGTTATGATGTGTGCTACTTGTGTGTATTACCAGTCATGTGCCTCACATGTTATACGTATGTGTCACTTGTTATGTGTGTTAGATGTAATCAGAAACATGTGTTACGTCTCATGATACACGCATGTTACATCTTAAGTTACACGTGTGTTACGTGTTGATACACGTGTGTTACTGATACACGTGTGTTAGGTGTTGATACACGTGTGTTAAGTGTTGATACACGTGTGTTACGTGTTGATACACGTGTGTTACGTGTTGATACACGTGTGTTACGTCTTATGATACACGCGTTACGTGTTAAGATTCACAAATACGTCTATGATTGTGGTCATGTTTGGTTCAGGATAATGTTCAGTGTGGCTGTGCTGGTCAGCACTGCTATAACTGGCTGGCTGGTTCACTCTTGTCTATTGAAGGAAAATCTGGAAATTTTAAGAGGCACGTAAATCTTCTAACAACATGTCCATTCTTCCACTATAATCTATCCTATCCATAATTACTATCGTATTTGCCTTGTCTGTTTAGTGAAGTGAAGTCTGGGATCTGTCCTTAATTCTTGGTATAACTTAACTCTTGGTATAACTTAATTCATGGTATAACTTAATTCTTGGTATAACTCAATCCTTGGTATAACTTAATTCATGGTATAACTTAATCTGGTATAACTTACTTTTGGTATAACTTAATTCTTGGTATAACTTAATTCATGGTATAACTTAATTCATGGTATAACTTAATTCATGGTATAACTTAATTCATGGTATAACTTAATTCATGGTATAACTTAATTCTTGGTATAACTTAATTCTTGGTATAACTTAATTCTTGGTATAACTTAATTCTTGGTATAACTTAATTCTTGATATAACTTAATTCATGGTATAACTTAATTCATGGTATAACTTAATTCATGGTATAACTTAATTCATGGTATAACCTAATTCATGGTATAACTTAATTCATGGTATAACTTAATTCATTGTATAACTTAACTCTTGGTATAACTTAATTCTTGGTATAACTTAATTCATGGTATAACTTAATTCATGGTATAACTTAATTCATGGTATAACTTAACTCATGGTATAACTTAATTCATGGTATAACTTAATTCTTGGTATAACTTAATTCTTGGTATAACTTAATTCTTGGTATAATTTAATTCTTGGTATAACTTAATTCATGGTATAACTTAATTCATGGTATAACTTAATTCTTGGTATAACTCAATTCTTGGTATAACTTAATTCATGGTATAACTTAATTCTTGGTATAACTTAACTCTTGGTATAACTTAATTCATGGTATAACTTAATTCATGGTATAACTTAACTCTTGGTATAACTTAATTCTTGGTATAACTTAATTCATGGTATAACTTAATTCATGGTATAACTTAATTCATGGTATAACTTAATTCATGGTATAACTTAATTCTTGGTATAACTTAATTCATGGTATAACTTAACTCTTGGTATAACTTAATTCATGGTATAACTTAATTCATGGTATAACTTAATTCATGGTATAACTTATTTCATGGTATAACTTAACTCTTGGTATAACAATTCTTGGTATAACTTAATTCATGGTATAACTTAATTCATGGTATAACTTAATTCATGGTATAACTTAATTCATGGTAAAAACTTAATTCATGGTATAACTTAATTCATTGTATACTTAACTTTGGTATAACTTAATTCATGGTATAACTTAATTCATGGTATAATTTAAATTTTCATGGTATAACTTAACTCTTGGTATAACTTAATTCATGGTATAACTTATTTCATGGTATAACTTAACTCTTGGTATAACTTAATTCTTGGTATAACTTAATTCATGGTATAACTTAATTCATGGTATAACTTAATTCATGGTATAACTTAATTCATGGTATAACTTAATTCTTGGTAAAACTTAATTCATGGTATACCTTATTCTTGGTATAAACTTAATTCTTGGTATAACTTAATTCATGGTATAACTTAATTCATGGTATAACTTAATTCATGGTATAACTTAACTCTTGGTATAACTTAATTCATGGTATAACTTAATTCTGGTATAACTTAATCTTGGTATAACTTAATTCATGGTATAACTTAAATTTCATGGTATAACTTAACTCTTGGTATAACTTAACTCTTGGTATAATTTAATTCATGGTATAACTTATTTCATGGTATAACTTAACTCTTGGTATAACTTAATTCATGGTATAACTTAATTCATGGTATAACTTAATTCATGGTATAACTTAACTCTTGGTATAACTTAATTCATGGTATAACTTAATTCATGGTATAACTTAACTCTTGGTATAACTTAATTCATGGTATAACTTAATTCATGGTATAACTTAATTCATGGTATAACTTAATTCATGGTATAACTTAACTCTTGGTATAACTTAATTCATGGTATAACTTAACTCTTGGTATAACTTAACTCTTGGTATAACTTAATTCATGGTATAACTTAATTCATGGTATAACTTAATTCTTTTGGTATAACTTAATTCATGGTAAAACTTAACTCTTGGTATAACTTAATCATGGTATAACTTAATCATGGTATAACTTAATTCATAGTATAACTTAACTCTTGGTATAACTTAATTCATGGTATAACTTAACTCTTGGTATAACTTAATTCATGGTATAACTTAACTCTTGGTATAACTTAACTCTTGGTATAACTTAATTCATGGTATAACTTAATTCATGGTATAACTTAATTCATGGTATAACTTAATTCATGGTATAACTTAACTCTTGGTATAACTTAATTCATGGTATAACTTAATTCTTGGTATAACTTAATTCATGGTATAACTTAATTCATGGTATAACTTAATTCATGGTATAACTTAATTCATGGTATAACCTAATTCATGGTATAACTTAATTCATGGTATAACTTAATTCATTGTATAACTTAACTCTTGGTATAACTTAATTCTTGGTATAACTTAATTCATGGTATAACTTAATTCATGGTATAACTTAATTCATGGTATAACTTAACTCATGGTATAACTTAATTCATGGTATAACTTAATTCTTGGTATAACTTAATTCTTGGTATAACTTAATTCTTGGTTATAATTTAAATTTTCTTGGTATAACTTAATTCATGGTATAACTTAATTCATGGTATAACTTAATTCTTGGTATAATTTCAATTCTTGGTATAACTTAATTCATGGTATTAATTTTTAATTCTTGGTATAACTTAATTCTTGGTATAACTTAATTCATGGTATAACTTAATTCATGGTATAACTTAATTCTTGGTATAACTTAATTCTTGGTATAACTTAATTCATGGTAAAATAACTTATATTCATGGTAAACTTAATGTCATGGTATAACTTAATTCATGGTATAAATTAATCTGGTATATTATTCATTGAAACTTAATTCTGGTATAACTTAATTCTTGGTATAACTTAATTCATGGTATAACTTAATTCATGGTATAACTTAA